CTGTCTTCGCAGACTTGCAGGTGCGCATAAAGCGCCAGGACATCACGCAATTCCACGGCGGTCCTTTTTGGCTTTGCCACAGAACTTGGACCACACTTTATGATCGGTCAAGCATCTTCCTGTGGTCGACAGCGACAGAAGCATTTCCCGAAGCTCATGAATGTCTGTGTCAACCACAGGAAGAAGCAGTGGGTTCGCAGCAAGAAACCGCGCAGGTCAGTGGAGCTTAGCTGGGTCGCAGATGCTTGACCGTGATGTCCTGGCGCTGCATGCACAGCTGCCCTTGTACCTCTTTGGGGTTTCACAGTATTCCACGAGCCCCGCCGTCACCCCCAAACCCCACCCCCCTACACAAAGCCGCAAACCTCAAAAAATAATGTGAAAAGTGTCAAAAGGCCGCAACAATGCACAACAAAAAACCTGCATGGCGCACTCGCACAAAAGCAGAGAATATATTGCGAAAACTGCAATCTGCCTGGAACACATGCACAAGAGCCCCAGCTCAACCAGAACTCAATTGGCTGAAAAGCGCTAAGTCGCAGGGCCGCGAAAGCAGCGCCGCACCACCACCACCAACAACAACCACCACCACCACCACAATAACAACCACAACAACAAGCACAACAACAACCACCACAACAACCACCACAACAACCACAACAACCACCACAACCTCCACAACCGCCGCAACCGCCACAACAACCGCAACAACCGCAACCGCCACAACCACCACAACCACCACAACCACCACCAGAACCACAACCACAACCACAACCGCAACCACAGCCACAGCCACAGCCACAGCCACAACAACAAAGCGCAACAACCACAACAACCGCAACAACCGCACCACCACCCGCCAACAACAACAACAGCAACAAAACAACAACCGCGACCACAACCACAGCCACAGCCACAACCGCAACCGCAACCGCAACAAACACAACAACAGCAACAACAACAACAACAACAACAACAACAGCAACAACAACACCAACAACAACAGCAGCAACAACAACAACCACAACAACAACAACAGCAACAACAACAACGCAAAAACAGCAACAACAACAACAACAACAACAGCAACAGCAACAGCAACAGCAACAGCAACAAAAACAACAACAACAACAACAACAACAACAACAACAACAACAACAACAACAACAACAACAACAACTAAAACAACAACAACAACAACAACAACAACAACAACAACAACAACAACAACAACAACAACAACAACAACAACAACAACAACAACAACAACAACAACAACAACAACAACCCAACAACAACAACAACAACAACAACAACAACAACAACAACAACAACAACAACAACAACAACAACAACAACCAACACAACAACAACAACAACAACAACAACAACAACAACAACAACAACAACAACAACAACAACAACAACAACAACAACAACAACAACAACAACAACAACAACACAACAACAACAAAAACAACAACAACAACAACAACAACAACAACAACAACAACAACAACAACAACAACAACAACAACAACAACAACAACAACAACAACAACAACAACAACAACAACAACAACAACAACAACAACAACAACAACAACAACCAACACCAACAACAACAACAACAACAACAACAACAACAACAACAACAACAACAACAACAACAACAACAACAACAACAACAACAACAGCAGCAACAACAACTACAACAACAACAACAGCAGCAACAGCAACAGCAACAGCAACAGCAACAGCAACAGCAACAGCAACCACAACTACAACTACAACAACAACGCCAACCGCAACCGCAACCGCAACCGCAACCGCAACGGCAACGGCAGCGGCAGCCGCAACCGCAACCGCAACCGCAAACCGCAAACCGCAAACCGCAAACCGCAGCCGCAGCCGCAACTGCGACACCACCGACAACAACAACACAAAACAACAACAACAACAACAACAACAACAACAACAACAACAACAACAACAAGAACAAGAACAAGAACAAGAACAAGAACAAGAACAAGAACAACAACAACAGCAACAGCAACAGCAACAGCAACAGCAACAGCAACAGCAACAGCAACAACACCAACACCAACACCAACACCACCACCACCAACAACAACAACAACAACAACTGGCAGCAACAACAACGGCAACAGCAACAGCAACAGCAACCGCAACAGCAACCTCAACAGCAACAGCAACAGCAACAGCAACAGCGACAGCGACAGTGACAGCCACAGCGACAGCAACAGCGACAGCGACAGCGACAGCGACAACGACAGCGACAGCGACAGCGACAGCAACAGCAACAGCAACAGCAACAGCAACAGCAACAGCAGCAGCAGCAACAGCAACAGCAGCAGCAACATCAGCCGCAACAACAAAAACAAGAGAAACAACAACATACGCGCGCGCTACACCGCACGCAGCCAGACAAACGCACCAACACCCACGACAACTTCATACACAACGTTGCACGCCCACATCAACGCTCACGCAGCACACATCAACACGCCCGCATGTACGCGCACGCGCACTCGCCCGCACACGGGCACGCCACAAGCGCACGCGCGCAGGCACACTCATAGGCACGCGCAAATGCACACACGCACAAAAACACGCACACATACACAAACAGACAAACAGCACACACACACACACGCACACCCAAAAGGCAGCTTAAGCGGAAGGCTGCAAAAGCCCGTGTAGCGGTGCGCAACCAAGCTTTTGACAGATGATTCTCTTTGGATGACAGCTCAACAGCCCGTGGCCTTTCCGCGACAGCGGCCTGCGGGCTGAGACATGGCTGAGACAATGTGTTTTCGCATGCGCTTGCCGCATGAAACTTTTCTCACCAAGTTGCAGACGCACTTTGAGCCCGTAAAGTGTTTGAACAGCCAGGTTGCCTGAAGTGCCAGGGTACACAACCCGCTTCTGATTCTGAGTGGCAGATCGCAGGTTTCGTGAACCCTTGCTTCAATTAGCTAGTGGCCCGAAGAGAGTGCAAACACACACACACACACACGCAATATGCAAAATGTCAGCAAACATAAAAAATAACTTAGGAATCGTAGGAGGGGTCATCAAGTATTATTTTGCACTCATACGCATGCATCCAGGTGGAAGTGGAACTCTCGCAGCACGGAAATACCAGGCAGGCGCAGATTTGTTTGGGCTGCGCAGTGCAGCGTGTGATGACGCGAAGCAGTGGCAGTCTTGTTGGCTGGTGTCCTATGTATGTCCCGCATTCACCGCTGACCATGCTACTGCTTGGCGGCCCGCTTGCGCCGGGGCAGCAGTCCAAAGCACAGGCGTACTGGTCCCAGGAGCAGCGGTGCTCTCTCAGCCTCCAAATGTTCTTGTTGAAAGTACTATTCTAGAGGGCAAGACATGATGTTGAAGGCGGCCAAAACGGGACATGCAAGCTTGGTGGTGGGCTTGCTTTGCAAGCAACAAAAGAGAGAAGGTGGCCGAGACAAGACGTGAGGTGCCTTGTTTTTTTTGAGGGAAGACAATGGTTCCTTTCCGAATGTTTGGCCAGGAGTTTGCAGAAAAGTCGATATGGTGGCACTTGAGGAGCCAACGTCCAGACTACTACCACCCAGATGAGGTGGTGATTGTTCCCAAGCTGCCGCTGTCCCAAAATGGCAAGATCCAAGTCTCGGCATTGCGCTGCATGGTGCCTGTGCGTACGCCGGAAGTGCCCCAAGAAGTTCTGCCAGTTGCAGAGCACGCAATCATTAGCTGGCTGCTGTCTGAGTGCAGGCGAGCGAGACATGCAAAGTCGAGGGTCAATGTTATGCAATCTTCAAGATGTAAGGTTAGCTTTGCGTCTTCTCTCGAGCTCGCTTTCCTCCTTGCTGCCCTGCCGCAAGGACCATGGGCGTCGACATACCTGACGCACACTCGAATCTAATCCAGTATGGATTGAAGAGTGCGGCCGCCACGAATTTGGCGTCTGCAGCCTCGAAACATTTCAAAGTGAAGATTCTTGCCACTCACGTCTACATCCATTACACCATCGCAAACCTTGGCCGCTTTCTCGCTGGCAAACTCGAGGCGCGCAGCCCAGTTTGTTTCGGCAAGTCACCAGAGGTCAAAGAGATGCTCTACTTGACACCAGACAGAGCTCCTGCTGCGATCTGCAGCATGGGGGTCATATCTGGGCGCTGCCGTTCCTGGCAGACCTTCTGGCAGCATCTCTTTCAAGGCATTGATCAGGTTTGTCGAGCCCCATCGCCGCGATTGTCTTTGGGCTTGCTATCGAGAGAAGCGGGGTTGCTAGGCTGCGAACACCTTGCGACTGAATGCTCGACGTTTGCACGTGTGTGAGGTTGCTCACTTGCATGTTTGCGTGTTTTTTCGTTGTGTGTTATTTGCTTGCTGGCGTGCTTGCTTGCTTGCTTGTGTGTGTGTGTGTGGGTGCGTGCGTGCGTGGGTGGGTGCGTGCGTGCGTGCGTGCTTGCTTGCTTGCTTGCTCGCTTGCTTGCTTGCAGCTTGCTGGTTTGCAGTGGGTGTGTGTGTGTATCAACGTATGTATATATATATATATTATATATATATATATATATTATTGGGTATGTATAGGTTTGTATATGTATGTGCCTTTGCGTGTTTGTGTGCCTCTCTGTGGTTTTGTGTCTCTGTGCCCGTGTGCTGTTGACTGTGGTGAGCGTGAGAATGAATTGACTAAGGACAGAATACTAATAGGATGTATGCTGAAAAGAGAATGCACATAGGTTTGTTTAACAGACGGTTTTGATAGTTGGAATTCGTATTTCAAGTTAGATGGTCAACAGGATGTTTTTGCATGATGATTTATTCAATTTCTCATTAGAATCTAAATGGAATGCAAAAGTGGACAGCACCTACGTAGTATAATGTCTAGACTTAAAGATGATTTGAATAGGGTTTCCATTTTGAAGAGTATTGCTAATTACTTTCGCGGGATATGGTTTCTTCACTTTCTATTTAGAGTTAGCTGGAATCTAGTAAGGAAAACAATCTAAGTATAATGTCTAATTTTAAGGATTGTTGAATCGGATTTCCTTTTCAAAGAAAACACATAATTGGAATTGTTATTCCCAATTAGACTTGAAGAGGAATTCCTTGCTTAGGGTGAGCTGATGCTGGTCAAGTTGCATGGGGCATCCAAATAAGACAACTGTATTTCATCTCCAAAATGGCCCTCAAACAGCAAAAAGGTAGATTCATGGGGGGGGTGCATGTGTGTATCTATGTATCTGTATATGTTGTGTTTGTTTGTGTTTCTGCAGGTTTGTACGTCCGTTGCATGGTTTTTGCGTGCATGCGTGTGTGTGTGTGTGTGTGTTCTCCATGAAGTACCGTACTTTGAGCTGCTTGACAGACACACTCTGGCAGGCTGTTTGTCGGGGACAGAATTGCCATCATGTTGGGTTCAAAAAGGTGACACGCTGGGTGGCCTGAGGTTTATTGATGATATCGAGTCTTTCGACTTCGCATTCTTTGCGGACATGCTTTCTTGGAGTGAGGCATGCCACATGGATCCCCAGCAGCGTCTCTTGCTGGAACTTTTCGGGGGGGAGGCGCCCCAGCCGGGAGATGCGGCGGTTTGTGTCGGCACCATGACCCTGGCGGTGGAGTGCAATGACCTGACATCCCGTGCTCCCAGCATTTTGTCCAACCGTTTGTCCTACGTCTTTGACCTCATTGGCCCATCATACACTTGCGATACTGCTTGCGCCTCTTCCCTCAATGCGCTCCAAGGCAGGGCAGCTTCCGAGAGGCACTCCGACGAAATTCTATTCTCATGGCACCTAAACAATTGAAACATCCTCCAGTATTTTGTGCTTACTGTTGCTGGCTTGCGCTTTTGAGGTAACATACCAACTATGAGGCACAAAAGGAGGTCGCTCTTGTAAGGAAAACATAGGACCTCAGTGTCGGCATGGATGAACTCTTCCTTGCGCAATCTGAGCTCATTCAACTGACATGGGATTGTCGCATTGCAAAGTGCCGTTTGGGCAGGGTGGCTTTGTGGGAGTGGCTTTGTGGGAGGCCCTTTCCTATGAATCGGGGATCTGCGAGGGGCTCTGGAGCAGGCTCCAGAGCCTTGTCCTATGTGTTCGCCTAGTCCAAGGATAAGTAAGGTCCCCAACGTTCAGGCGCTGCGCGCGAGCTGGGGGAAGGCTGCAGCAGGGCGTATGCGGCCGGTTGCAGCGTCATTTCCGAGCCACGCAGTTTCAAGGCCCGTCGGAATCAATGACGCCTGAATCTGAGACTCGGCCTTGCCTCAACCTGCCCAAGGGTTTTGAGGGTTCAAGCTGTGAACCGGTATTGAAAGGCACGCAACCTGTCGAACCCTTTCAGGCGGCCGAGGCGATGCATCATTTGCTTTCTCCCAAAGACCGGTGCAAGACCTTCGATGCCTCAGCGGACGGAATTGCACGAGGCCATGTCACACTCTGCCTGAATTGCAAGCAGTGGCGAGGCTTTGGCCAGGTTGTAGGTGCTACGCATAGTTTACATTTTATCGTTGCTTACCTCTAGGGGCTGCATGAAGCCAGCTGGGGCGGGGAACGCAGAGGTGGGGCTCGTTTGGGATGTCATTTGGGCATGGAAGGTGGGGCTTGTTGATTGTGCACTGTGGAAGGGTGCTACAACCCTAAAGCCGCATAGAGCAGCCTTCAGTCCTTTCCTCTGCTGTTTGCGAAGGCGAAGCTGTGGGATTGTTGTGCCTCCAGAAGACCTTCGACAATGTTTGCGGCAGCCTGCTTGCCGTGTCCACTGGACACAACGGCCGCACAGCTGTCCTGACCACGCCCTCCGCAGACGCCCAGAGGCCCGGGCACCAATAAGCTTCGTCACAGCCCTTCACTTGCCTCAAGGGAATTTTCGATACTCCGATGCCTCCCCCAGAAAAACATAGAAAAACGGGTTTAGGTGACGTTTTGGCTCAGGTCAGTGATTCTCAGAGCCCAAGAGAAGGCCGGCTTGTCTCCCAGCCAGATCGATCTTCTAGAGGCTCATGGGACAGGAACCCGCATTGGCCCGGCCCTGAGATAGAATCCGAACTCAAAGGGTGCCTTCATGTCAGCAACCTGAATTCAAGACATTTCAAGACATTTCAGAAGTTTGCAGTGACAGATTCGTGAAAGGGTAAGACTGGATTGTCGAAATCCGTGCCGGCCACGAATCGTTTGCGAGGTGATTTGATGGAGCTTCAGGGCCTGCACGTGGTCTTTGGCCAAGACCGCACGGCTCCGCTGGTGCTGGGGGCGCTAAAGACGCAGATCGGGCACAGCGAGGGGGCGGCTGGGGTGATGTCCGTCATCAAAGCCCTGCTGAGCAGTGAGAAGCGCTGCATGCCCAGGAACTTGCACTTTGAACAGCTGGTGGAGGTTGACTTTGACATGAGCTGGGCTGGGATTCCAAGCACCTGCGTTGAGCTCCCGAAGCATGGAGCACACTTCGGCATCTCCAGTTTCGGCTTTGGAGGAGCGCTTTGTCATGCCATTGTAGCTGGCGCGGGTGAGCGGCTTTCGGAAGTCACACAGCCAGTTGAACCCCAGCATCAGCGCCAGCAGCTGTACCAGCAGCACCTGCTCTTGGGACAGCAGTTGCAAAGCGACCCAGGACAGTTCCACTTTTTGTCCGGCATCGATTCAGACGCCCACCGTTTCTGGGACCACATAGTGGATGGCGTGCCGGTATTTCCGGCCGAGGCCTCCCTGGAAATGATGTTTGCCCTGGCCAGGCTCCTGCGGCTACCGCTCTGCCTCCAAAAGGTGCGCTTCATTCAGCTCTTGGCCTTGACGGAGCCAAGGGAGTTGCACACGGCAGCTTCCTTCTCCGGGTCTGACCTCCATGTGACCATCCGAGCCATGGAGAAGCCGCTGGCCACTGGCATTGTCGCCAGTCCGGACCCAACACAGGAAGCCTCCAGGAAGTTGCCCTTACAGCCCCCCAAAGAGTTTACACCCGCGCAAATATACAGCACCTGGCCCAGCTACGGAGTATCCTTCCGGCTCATCGAAAGGCTTCAGCTTTTTGAAACCTGTTCCTGGGCAGTGCTTCGTCCCCCAGCGGACCATGCCTCTCGCACAACTCCCACTGGTTTGTTGGATGCTGTTCTCCAGGTGCTTGCTTTCTCAATGTTGACTGCGTATGAAGCTCTCCAAGCGCATGCGGTTTGGGTGCCAACGCAGGTTGGCAGTGTCAATCTGCTTCGGGTGCTCTCTGCCCAAAGCTACAAAGCATATGCCTGGTGGGAGGACATCAACTCGGACATGCCAGATTTGCTGGTGGGGCATGTGGAGCTTCTATCAGAGGGGACTTGCGTCGCCACGCTGCGCAATTGCCACTTCCGGAGGCGAGACCCACATGTGTCTTCGAAGCCTCCGGCCGATCTTCAAGCTTTGACCCTCAAGTGGAAGGAACTGAAGAAGCCGATTCCAGCTGAGGAGCTGAGCACGTTGGCGACCCTACGCCTGACTTATATGCCCGGAAGGCAGAGCCAGCTAGTTTTTCAGGGTAAGCAGGCTGCCTTCGCAGGAATGGATGGCATGGGCATGGAGGAGACCCAGATGCTGGCAAGGGTGATCAATGCACTCAAGGACACGCCCGTTGTCGTTCGATATATTTGGCCAGCTCCAAGGGCAGCTGCACAGGCCCAATCAGATGCTGACCTGATCGAGGAGTCAGAAACCATTTGCAAACAGATGCTGCACGTCATGCAGCAGCTCGAAAAATGTGATGTGAATATCCATAAGCTTCTGGTGGTGACGCAAGGTGCAATCCCAGTGGGCAATGGTCCAGTCAACCTTGCACAGAGCGTGCTGAGCGGCATGTGTCGCGGGCTCCAAAGTGAGAAGCTGCGCTGGAACGTGACCCACGTGGATGTTGATTCCGGAGCTGAGGAGTGGAGCCACTTTGGTGAGCCCGTGATCGCTGCGCGTGGCGGCCTGGCTTTGGGGCTTCGATTGGAGCGGGTTGACCAACCAGATGCCGCCTTCCGACCCCGTGAAAATGACCACTTCTTGATCACAGGTGGCCTGGGAGGCGCGGGGAGTTGTCTTTATTTTGTTGTGTGTGATGGTAAGTGCAAGTCAGTCCCCTATTGCGGCCTGGCCGCTCGTGTTGCCCGTTTGCCATTGCATGCTCCGTTGGATCTACTTGCTGATGACCAGCTGGCTTGCACTCGCGACTGTCCCTGCCTCACTTGCAATCGTGATGTCAGCAACTGACAATATTACTGCGGGGCACCCCTTTCATAATGTATGCCCAGTGAGTGGGGGGGAGGGGAATGTATGGAATACATTTTCCGTGTTTGCCACCCCAAGAGGCTTCAGCGCTTGGCTTTCTCTGTGCCAAGGCTGAGAACTTAGAAAAACGGCCACAGCGTTGTGATAGGTTGGTGCAAGTGTAGGTGTGGGTGCAAAGGGACCTGGAAAGGTCTGCGAGTTTTAGGCTCAGTGTTGGGATGCTTTCCAATTTGGTGTTGCGCATTGCCCCGCGATTCTAGAGGCCCATCTGCCAGCAATCCACTGCACGCATTCTCTGATTTTTCACTTTTAATAGTAAATCAATGAGAACAAGTTTTTGTTTGATCCCATTTAATAAGTTTTTTTTGATCTTCAGAAATAAGTTTTGTTTGAAAAGTTGCTTTTGATCCCTCACCCCGGGGACAACCCCCGTAAAGTGAATTGCCGCAGTCATTGTTTTAAGCTTTTTTGTTTTGAGAGCTCCCGGAGGTGTTTTTGTGTGTTTTTGTCCAACCCGAACGGTGCTCCCAGGTACCGCCCCGGCCTTGCTTCGGGCTGTTTTCGGTTTCTGGGTTTTGCACGTTTGCGCCGGTTTGGATGGTGCATGATGGTGCGGAGACGCGGGGACGGGATTCCTGTGTCTGTGATGCCGCTTTTTAGCACCAGGCAAGCAATCGAAAAAGCGGGCGCACGGACAGGCACATAGGCAGGCGGCAGGCAGGCAGGCAGGCAGGCCGCTA